AAATGTCACGGCTACCTTATACCACATGGTGATCCCATGGTTTAGATAGAAAAGAGCACTGGGACTAATGCCGACTGCTGCATTTAGCTAAAACGGATGAACATTACACCAAACCACAAACTTGGCTGGAACTTCAGTAGAGCATCCTTAGAGCCCGCGTAAGGATAATTTCTTGATGTATTTTAGGATGCTGTTATTCACTGCTGGAGAGGTGGTGATACTTTCCTCGTTTGTGAAGATGGTAAGGAGCCTAACAACAGCTATGCAGTTTACTCACAGAGCCATATTGCAACAATTAGAAGTTTAATTAAACATTAGTGTCTGGCCTACCACAGTTCTATCAACAGCAATAGACAATAGGATGGGAAACTTGAGAAAATAAAAAGGAAATGCATGTAAGTATAATCCCTTAGGTTGAAAATGCCATCATCCCTTTTGTACTTACCAGTAGTAAAGTTTAAAGTAGTCTTAAAATTCACCAGGAAATACAAAAAAAAAAATTAAAAAAAAAAAAAAAGGCAAATTTGACATGGTGTTCCAGAACGCCCAGGTCAGTACTTATCAGGGAGAGCCATCTTCATAGTGGCCATGTGCAGAGCTTCCTTCCTGAGCTCCGTTGCGTGCAGTGCCGGAGGGCTGGGAACGGCGCGGACGCCTGCCTGAGCACGCCTGGCAGTGCCTGCCGTGGGGAGCCGCGACCCGGGTCAGGCCTGTTTTTAGGCACAAGAGGCAACCACACCTGAACGTGTCTTTGGGAGCCTGCTGTCTATGCAGCAGGCAAGCAGGGCCCTGGGGTGGTCCCGGGGCCGCTCTTTGAAGGCCATACAATCATATCTAGCGGGCCATCTGCCATGGGTTTCAGGTGGACTGAGGCGCKTGGCACCCTGAAGGGCTGACTTTGCATGACTGAAGCTAGATAGACAAAATTACAGGCGTCTTTCAGTCAGCTGGGCTACAACCTTTGTCTTGGACTCCTCATCTCTACGGGGATAGGTAACCCTGTTCTCTGCCTCACGACTGTGTGGTTTAAACGGTTAATTGCACCGCTGACATGAAGAGCGGGGCCGGTGCAATGCAGCTCTTCAGCTCTGGCACATATTTGAAATGTCTGAAAGTCTGCAGTGATGACAGTGTTCACCACCACCTGATGACTACTGCTGGGCTCCCGTGAATGAACTCATGATCTCAGTCTAAATATARGATGACTAGAGTACTATAAAATGAAAAATGCCACAGTTGCTACTCGGTTTACTGCCAAACACCCGTGTTAGTAATTTTTATTGTTGTTGCTATGTTCCTTAACCTCTCCCTGAGTGTAGTTAGTATCACTAACTTTGTAGAAACATTATCAACTTGCAAAAGGGTAAATASAACAGAGGTTAGCTCTCCTGGTGGCAATCCCAACAGAAAGGCCAGGGATTTGTAGAGTGAATCACTGGGTGGGAAAGCAGGACAGCGCAACTTCCTTGATGGCAGCGTATCAGCAAGAAAGATTTCAGTCTCCAGGGCCGCGTGCACCCTTCTCACCTGTGCTGGCTTGTCCTAGGATGGACAAGAGATGCCTTTCAGACCAGAATACCAGCAGGGAGGAGCATTAACGTCCTTAATGGCACCTCTCACATTGGCGGCAGCTTTGCCTCCCCCAGGATCCTTCATGGACTGAGACACCATCAGAGCAGACGCCGTGAAATGTAACTTTCACACTCTGATGACTGTTCTTTGACATTTGTGAAGTGAAACAGTGACTTCAGTTAGTGACAATTTATAGAAAGGTGCATCTTACAAATGCAGAGCTGAATCTCAGATGCGGTTCACACTCAAAACAGGAAACATAGTTAAATATGAAATGCAGAAAAAAGATATCTGAAATGGTTACATAACTCAAYCAGTTTAAATGTAGGCACATTTTTATAGTCAAGTAACATAATTTACTGTGCATTAACATCATATTAAGTAACTAATCCTTGCTTCCAGTGAGTTGAAGTGGAGCAAATCTGAGCCTAAAGAAGCTGTGCCCACAGGGTTATTTTCTGTACTAGCATTTGTATAGAAAAAAAGATCAAATGCAGCTTCAAAGCTGCAGAAGTGAGCGCCCTGTTCTCTGTAGTAAAGTTAACAACTTAAGAAGTGGCAAAAAAATAGGCCTTTTTCATCTTTGGTCCTGTTTTCTTTTTTTCCCCTCCCCCTTGGTATTCTTTTCTGCTCATTTAATTTATTTACTTAATATTTTACTTTAAAAGAACACTTTAAAAGAACATCTTCTTTTTCCCAAGCTCAGCATGGAAGCTCAGGTAATGTTATTCTTGACCTTCATTTCTTGACAGTCTTCACTGCCCCATTTTTCTAGATCTGTCTCCTTTCTTTTCTGAGCGTGCTCTTTAACTTTGCAGCCTAGGATTTCTCTAATGGGTATTAAGAAAACCATTTCTCTAGCAGCATATCCAGCTTTCTTGCCCACACTCCTGTGGGGAAGGATTTGTTTAGGCTAGCAGGCAAGGTAYGAGCTGCAGACTGGTGCTTAACCTCAGTAAATTCAGCCTGGAGAGCAACAGTTCAGGCTCAGCGGTGGGACTACTCAGGCAATTAAATCTGTTTAGCCAGCAGCGTGATGGATTTCGCCTCACATGAAATCTGCTCATGCTGTAGCTCACACACGGACAACAGGTCTGACTCGAGGATCGCACCRCGCACGCAATTACAGGGGATGATGGCAGTGGTCCTGTCTGGCCCTAAGGCTCTGTCCTCRACCTCGCCAATCCAGTTTCCACACATGCTGCAGAAGTTCTTTTCAGTGTTACTGAGGACTCTTTCCTGGCCAAAAGCCAAAAAAGCAGTTCTTCTTTATTAYCCTTTCCCTATTCCTTTTGATATTGTCAGCCATTTTTATCTTCTTGATATCTCTTCCTCCTCCACTGCTTTTATGACACCATCTCCAATTGATTTTCTTCCTACCAGTCTGTTTGCTTTCTCAATCTTTCCATTTTTCTCCCTCCCCATCCACTTTTCAGTGCGACTCCCACACTGTTCTTTTCTTGTCTTCGTTCTCCTCTTGCCTACTCAACCTCTCACAATCCCATGACGTTTAACGCTCATCAGTATTAGCCCAGGGTTTTGGGGCAGGAAAGCTGGATTGTGTGAATCAGCAAAAATCATGTGGCCATACGGAGAGCTTCTGATAGGTAACGAAAACAAAGGAAGGGATGTGTTCAGGCAGGACCATTTCTCCAGAGTATTGGTCATATTTTYGCTGGCAGATCTGCGTGCAAATCCTGCTGATGATATCATTTTTACGGGTACACATAAATCAGGTACCTCCTGTTTATGCTTACTGGGGCATTGCAGCGTTTTATTGAAATTTTGAACTCTAAGTTCTATGGGCACTTTATTACACTTATATATGAATTAAAAACCTAAGTACATTGTAACAGAGTTATGCAAATGCTGAACAGTGTGATGGAAACTTCTGAAATGGACACATCCTTGTGGGACTATTTGCTCTCAAGTGAGAGCAAATCCATCTATCAGTCCTGAATTTTCAATTTTTTTTTTTTACAGTGCATTTTTGTTCATTGAGAAATAAGACTTTTGAGAGGATGCCAAGCTGGTAGCGGGGATGCCACAAGGAACATCTCAGGCTCACACTGGTTTGGGGGGATACAAGAGGGCACAGGGACCAACTGTTCGATATGGCCACTTCAGTAGCAATATATCATTCTTCCATTTGCTCTAAAAGGGCCTAGAAACATTATTAGTAATATATTTATATATATATCTATATACACACACATGCCACATACACACTATATATATATATACACACATATATATCATAAATACATTATATATATCATATACACACACATATATACATATATACACACATATATACATATATGTATATGTACGTGTATATATATATATGTACACACATATATACATATACACACACCAGTAATTGGGGCTTCAGTGATGCTGCTCAGCTGTAACAGGAGTTTGTAACCATCACATAAGTATATGGAGAGGAAAAATGTGGTAACTTCGCCAGGGATGATGTCGCTGTGGGATGTTTTAATACCTTAATTCTTCGTATTGCAAAATCTTTGAAGGGGGAGGGGCTGTTCATGCCGGAAAACGGCAGAAGGGCTTTAATTAGCTGTTGATGGGCGTTCAAGAAGAGGGAAGAAAAGGGAGCGAAGTCCTAACACGCTCGTGGCGTTTGGCTTCAGCCGGTGAGCGGAGCCAGGGGCTGGAAACGCCGCTGGGTGGGAAAGTTCGGCCTCTCTTTCCGTGGGGAAGATAAATACATTATGTTTAAAAATGAAACCGTGACGGG